CCGAAGGACGCTGCTTATGGGCAACTGTGTGTCTATCCTGCCTCCCTTAGGAAACGGATAGGAACCTAGATATTCCCCGTAGAAGGCATGGAGACCTTCTTTTAAGAAATTCCTAGCACACCCTGTGTCTCCCTTAGGACGTTTTTTACGGGCTGCGTCTCCCGAAGGACGCTTTGGTCGTCGCCCTGCGTCTCCCTTAGGACGCTGCTTATGAGCAACTGCGTGTTTATCCTGCCTCCCTTAGGAAACGGATAGGAACCTGGATACTTCCCGCAGAAGTCATGGAGACCTCCTTTTAAGAAATTCCTAGCGCACCCAGCGTCTCCCTTAGGACGCTTTTTACGGGCTGCGTCTCCCGAATGACGCTTTGGTCGTCGCCCTACGCCTCCCTTAGGACGCTGCTTATGGGCGACTGTTTTGCGGTGATCTGCCTGCCAATGAACTATGAGCAGTTGTCAGTAACCAGCGATTGTGGGCAACCAAACCTGCAGGTGATGTTTCTCCACATGAATCGCTCCACATCGGCTTCTTTAATAGAGGATAGAGCTTCAGCCTCTATCCATTTAGTATAGTATTCGGTGGCGATGATCATCATGTCATTATTGGTAGGCACGGGTGGCAAGAGTCCCACTAAGTCAATGACCCATTGCATGAATGGTAGACTTCGGTAGGCAAGTTAGGGATTGGCTTGTATCGCTAGCAGCGATCACATTTCTTGACATATTCAGTGGAGTCGTGGTGCATGGTAGGCCAGAAGTAGCCTATGTTTACCTTATGCAGGTGAGATAAAGGCCAAAGTATGATCTGCGGATGAGCTTGCTGCCGTGCATATAGTATCAGGCGAGTAATATGCCCCCATAGTGGTTGCCACACTCGCCGCCGTGAATTTTGCAAAGGACCTCAAGTGTTTGAGGGTACCTTATGCAGGTGAGATAAAGGCCAAAGTATGATCTGCGGATGAGCTTGCTGCCGTGCATATAGTATCTAGTGGCCTTCTGCTGGACCTTCCTAGTTTCGGACTTGTCCGGTGGCAGGTTTCCATTCACTAAGTACTCAATGACGGGGTCTTGCCAGCTGGGGTCCTCTTCAATTTGCATGGTGTCGATTGGCTTTATTTCTTCAATGCTTGGTCGGTCAAGGTGTTCGACCGGGATGGAGCATCTGAGCTGGGTATCTAGCGCTGACCCTAGGCTGGCTAGTGCATCTGCATGCGCGTTCTCTGCCCGGGGTACTTGTTGGATGGTGAAGGTAGGAAATGCCTTCAACAGCTCCTGGACTCTGTCAAGGTATAAGATCATCCTTGGGTGCTTTGCCATGTATTCACCTGACGCTTGATTCGCGATCAGCTAGGAATCTCAGTAGATGGCTAGCTTCTTAATTGTGAGTTCCTTCGCCAAGCGCAGACCAGTGAGCAATGCCTCATATTCTGCCTCATTGTTCGAGGCCGGGAAGCCAAGCGTGATAGCTTGTTCCAACAATTGCCACGTGTCTCTAAGTTGGCTAGGTCATGCGGAGGTCCCATCTGCTCTTGAACTTTCCTTATTTTTATTGACTAATTTCTCTTCTTCGGCTGATGGGGTGAACTCTACCACGAAGTCTGCTAAATCCTGGGCTTTTATTGCAGCTTTTGGCTGGTAGAGGAGGTCATATTGGCTTAGCTCTATAGCCCACTTCATGAGTCGCTAAGAAGCATCAGGGCTGTGAAATATTGATCTCAAAGAAATGTCGGTCATGACGATGACTCGATGAGCTTGGTAATAGGGTCGTAGCTTTCTCACGGAAACTACAAGAGCCAAAATGAGTTTCTCCAATTTTGAGTAACGAGTCTCTGCATCGAGGAGAGCTTTTGACGTGTAGAGTACCGGATGTTGGGCCCCCAGCTCTTCTCGAATGAGAGCTGAGCTGACAGCTGAGTTGGACACTGCCAGGTACATGAACAAGTCCTCACCAGGGACTGGCTTTGAAAGCAGGGGACGTGAAGTGAGACAAGTCTTCAAACTCTGGAAAGCTACTTCACACTCCTCATCCCATTTGTCTCTTTGTCCTTTCTTCAAAGCTTTGAAGAATGGTTTACACTTGTCGGTTGATCTCGAGAGGAATCGGTTGAGGACCGCTGCTCTGCCCGTCAGACTTTGTATTTCCTTCATTGTGGAAGGCAACTTCATCTCAGAATGGCTTTGATTTGACGTGGGTGTGCCTCGATTCCTCATTGTGTAACTAAGTATCCCAAGAATCGACCGGAGGATACACTAAACGTGCATTTACTTGGGTTCAACTTCATGCGATACTGGC